ATTTAAATTAAAAAACTTATTTTGCGAAGTACGCCTGTGGAATGTGACGTTATGTTACCACTTTTATTGCACTCCTATTTTATTCAGACTATAGATTTTTTGCTATTTAAATAATTGAAAATACTACTATAGTTTGCTTATAAGGAGTAATACACAAAAAAATGTTTCTAAAGTAGGTCTTGGAAAAATTCACTCATGTCGGGTCGTTCAATTATTCTTCTTTTTAAGTCTCTGTTTGGATTTATTTCAGAGCCGTGCGTGGTTAACAAGAATATAATTATTAGTGATTGATATTTGTAGAGAGTGGACGTGTTTATATTTAGTTCGTGAGTTAAAGTAAAATAGCTAATAAGTTAGATGAAAGTTACATTAATGTGTGCAGAAAGTCAATAAAAGTTTCTTAAAAAACAGTTACCTACCCGCAAATCTAGAAAAATAATTTCTTCAATTTTACGAGAAACTTTTAAAGAGTACTTGAAATGTCAGACGTACCAAAAATTACAATAGAAGATATATATTTAGTAATAAAAGAAGATAATGTAAAACTAGAAACAAAAATAATCGATGTACAAGGTGTTATAGACCTTCAAGAAGAAGACAAATTAATTAAGAAGCAACTAAGAGAATTGGAAAGAAAATTTAAATACAACAACATAATATTTTACGGGATACAAGAAGTGAAAGACGAAAATCAATTGTCACTAATTAAAACTATAATTGATATAATAAACAACACTCTCTTAGTTAATCTGCAAAATTTTGAAATTAACAACATAATATCGATTAGGGAAAGACAAATCTCAGACGCGGCCAGTTTTTCTGTCATTAATAACAAATATAAAGAAACAGGAAATTCTGAGAAACTGTTCGAAATTAAGAGGAACACACATTAGCGCAAGTGAAGATCTAATACAAAAAGATAGGGAAGAAAGAAAAATACTAGTACTAGGTTTAACACTCGAAAAGACAATAAAAAAGCTACTATTAAGGGAAGTAAATTATTTGTGGAAGATAGTACTTACACTGCCACTGATATATTAGAACAAGAGGAAAATCAAGGAATTTTTTCACCGCCCATACCTCGAAAGGTATCCAGTGAACCATCTACACCATCTCCTAGAGAAATAGATTCAAACGAAGAGGAAAGAAAACGAAGTGATACTCGATAATCCAATATTAGAGAGTAAAGCGCAAGATAAAGTAACTACACGATCCCAACTGCTAGACAAAAAGCCAACAATAGCAGAAATGAAGAAAGAAGAGGAAAGGCAAAAAAAATAATTTCAGATAGATCCCTAAGCACTGCACAGACTCCAAAGCATTTAAAAATATCACAAGCGAAATTACAAATTAGAAAATGATTTTTGGAGTGCCCTCGTAAAACAAATTAGATAAACAGTATGCTATAGCCAAACTCAATTTTCTTTTAAATTGAATTTCTTTATACGTATACTATCTTATCGTGTTTATTTTATCACCTGTGTCTTTTTAGAAACAGAAAATTTTAAAATAATATATTAATATTGTAAGATATATTTTGGAAGTAAAACTTTATTGAATTTTATTCTTTTACTGAACATATACTGTTTTAATTATTTTTCTATTTGTGTGCTTGTTTTCATTTTATCATTATTTCATTTTAAATATATTTATAGGTATACATACAATATAATGAACAATTATATACTCGACTCTAAAATTGAAGAGATAGAAACATTTCCTCTACAATCACCAGAGGAAACCAAGAAAGTTTTAAAGATAAATGACAGTATTATAAATTTTAAAATACTTCACACTAACATTTGCAGTATTACGTGTTATTTTGATGAATTTAAAATATTTATAGAGGGATTAGAAACAAAAATATAATGCATTGTCTTAACAGAAACTTGGTTTGTTCCTGACATATCCCTTTACAATATAGAGGGGTACAAAACTTTATATAATTTCAGAAAATTTAATAAGAACGATGTGTTATTGTATTTATTATATCCGAACTGTACGAGTCACATAGCCTATTTGATTGGAGTGGTAGTTCACTCATTAAAATAAAAGCTAAATTCGAAAATAAAACTTTTATTATAAATGCTTTTTATAGATCACCTGCTTCTGAAAATAATGTCGACTTATTTATAGGAGAAATAAATGATATTTTTGAAATGCAAAATATCAATTATGATTTCAAACTCTTAACTGGGGATATTAATATTCATCTCTTGACAGAAAATGATGACAAAACAAATTATTTAGATGTATTAAATGAATATGATTATCGCTCAGCTATTAACATTCCAACAAGAGTTCAAAAACTTTCAAAAACATGCCTTGATCACATTTTTCTACACTCTCAAAATGACGATTATTATGACTGTATAATGCCTCTAACAATTGACACCTCAATAACTGATCACCATACAGTAATGCTCCAAATAGTGTTTCCTCAAAAAGCCCATAAAATAAATTGTCATCCTCATTATTATGTCCAAATAGATAAAAATAAACTGTTATCCAAGTTTCAATATATTAATTGGAATGATATTTTCGTCGATCAAGACTTGGACTCCATTACAAACAAGTTTGTTGGAATCATTCAAAATAGTGTTAGTGAATCAACAAATTATATAAAGATTAAAAATACCCTAAGAGAAAGAAAAAATTGGATTACACCGTCCCTCATAAAATCAGTAAACAGAAAAAATAAAATGTTTAGAAAATTAAAAAAAACATGCTTCAAATAATATTTTTAAAAAGGAATAAATCAATTACAAATGACAACTAAATAAATTAATTACTATTGATAAAACTAACTATTATAATAAACTTACAGAAAAGGAACAAAACTCATCCAAAAAATACGGAATGTAGTAAATTCAATATCAAGAAAAACAAAAAACGCAAAAATCAATAATATTAAAGATAATAAAGGCAAATTGATAAATGAAGAAGAGTCCATATGTGAATTGTTTAATTCCTTCTTTATAAACATAGGACGAAAACAAATCTGTAAATTGTGATTCCATCTTTTTTACACCCACAAATACTACTGAGATAAAAAATTTAATTCGTGAACTAAAAAACAGAAAAGCACCGGGTTGGGACGGAATAAAAGCTGAAACGATTAAACACATCTCTGAATATATTGCGTATCCATTAATGATTATAATAAATAAATCGTTAGCAATTGGACATTTTCCTTCAGCATTTAAAACTTCAATTGTCAGACCTATCTATAAGAGTGCAGAAAAAGATGAAATGACAAATTATAGACCGATATCATTAATATCTTGTTTATCTAAGATAATAGAAAAAATTGTTAGACTAAATAATTTCATAGATAAACATCAGCTATTATCAAAGTCCCAATTTGGTTTTCAAACAGGCAAATCGACAGATGACGCTCTACTGGAAGTAATAAACACCTTATATAAAAATGTAGATGATAATTTACCAACAATCGCAGTATCTTTAGACCTAGCAAAAGCTTTCGACACAGTAAACCATGCTCTTCTCCTAGAAACCCTAGAAGATATAAGCATAAGGGGTATATCAAATAATTTCTTTCAATCGTATCTGACAAACCGTCCTTAAATAGTAAAATTAGGTGATAAATGTAGTAAAGAACAAATAGTTGTGTGTGGTGTACCCCAAGGTACGGTATTGGGGCCTATTTTATTTACAATACATATATTTAAATAATTTATTTATGGTTAAAAGTAAGAGCCAAATCACTAGTTTTACAGACGATACAGTTTTAATAAACAAGGATAAAAACTGGTACGATTTGAAGATAAAAATTGAAAATGATTTTACATGTATAAAAGAGTGGTTTGTCTACAGACTTTTATCCATTAACTACAAAAAACTGTCTTTTTACCGTTTACATCCCTTCCAACCTACACAATAAATGTACAAAAAAATACCAAGATACAACCGGCCAAAAACATAAAATATTTAGGTGTTATGATAGACCCACATCTTAGGTGGGATAGTCATATAAATTAATTGACCCAAAAACTAAGGTGTATATTATACAAATTTAAACAAATTTCATACCATCTGTGATATGAACAAAAACTAATGGTTTACCGAAGCTTAGTATAAACTCACCTTGTATACGTCAGTTGGGGAGGAGTTGCTCGAATCTACTACATTCTCGAGATTTCTCAAAAAAGATTTTTCAAAATTCTTCTTAACAAAACCAGAAGATATTCTAGTGAGTTACTCTATGCCGAAACAAAGATATTCGATGTTCGATAATTATACTTCATAAATATTATAATAAAACAACATACACTCAGATCAAATTTGCAAATTCGAACTCACGAACATATGACAAGAAACAGGAATACTTACTTAAACATAATAACAAAAAAATCTATTGGACAAAGAAGTTTCTTTTTTCTTGAACCTAAATTATATAACGCTGTACCTGAAAAAATTAAATCTGAACCTTCTATAAATAGATTGAAAACGACATTAAAAAAATACGTACGGAGTACGACTAGAAACGTGATACATAACCTAGTTGAGAGTAGCTTAATAGCAATGTTTCTATCTATTCTATTCAAACTGTCATTCAATTTTTTTAATAAATAACAAAATAAATGTTTTTCTTATTTTAAAAATTATATTTTGTTTCCTTTTATTTATCTATTAATATTGTATATTTTATTAACATCTATATTTTAAATTTTTTCATTTACTTTTAGTATAGTATATTTTATAAGTATATAGCATTTCCCTCGCAAACAAGCATTTGAGATGCTTCGCAAGAGTATGTGTTTATTTGCAGTTACCAATAAGACACTGCACTTTATATTTATTGTAATTTCTGTGAATAAATATTTTTGATTTGATTTGATTTTGATAAGTCATATCTTTGTCTTTGTCGGTCATGACCTACTTTCGAAACATTTTCTTTATTTACATCCTAATTGAAAGGTTTAAATCTTAATATTAAAATTTTGATTAAGTAGATTAACTATTTATTTTTATTTTAGGTGGAACCATAGGAGTAATATGCTCCATGTTTTTTAGTGGAGAAATAGCCTCGAGCGCACATGGATGGCCGATGATTATTTACTTACATAGTACATTTGCGATGATATGGTGTATTATTTTTTCTGTTTTTGGCCATCAGAGCCCCGATCATCATCCTACAATATCTCTTGAAGAGAAAATGTGTATAACAGACAACTGTAAAGATTGGCAGGTAACATCTGCATACTAATAGCTTTTCTAAAGAGAAACAACAATTAATTATAATAATTTTTTAATATATTTACAAAATAAATATAACGTATTTGGGTAACTGCCCATGCCGATCACCTTAGTAGTGGAGATGCATTATTTTTTTATAAAAAATATACAGGGTGTTTCAACAAGGTATGTCATAAATTCTTCCTCGGATAGATTACCAAAAAATAAGTGGATTTGCTTATATTTACCTCTATTAAAAACTCGCTTCCAACAAAGTTACAGGGCGTTAAACTAACATTCAGTAAAACTTTTTTTTTTTGTAAAAAGTTTGCTGTTGCGATTTTTGCTTTGAAATTTTTGCCAGTGCTGTAGATTTGAAGGCCCAATATTCTAAGGAGAAAACAAATTTAAAGCGACCCCTTTAAAAAAAGTTGGGGGTTCGGTACCTTTTAACCCCCCCCCCATATTTTTTTGACATAAAGAAACTTGCTTTATCGATCTTAAAATCAAAAAGAACTATTAATTTTTAAATTATTTATTGTTTCGGCCTTTACTTGATGAAAATCCATTTAATTTTGAAAGAGTAAAACCAAATTTGGTAGATTTTCACACTTTTATTTTAAAAATAAAAATTTTTAAACAAACACTAACATGACATATGTTTCGAAGTACAACTTCTTTTTCAAATGTGACTATTTACAATTCGGTATCCAATATATATACAAAATAATTTAACAAAACAAAGTACTTAAGAAAACATCAATAACATTACATTATTTGATGGATATTATAATTACCTAAGTACCCTTATTTACTTTAAATAGTTAGTTTATTTTGTAATGTTATTGATGTTTTCTTAAGTACTTTGTTTTGTTAAATTATTTTGTATATATATTGGATACCGAATTGTAAATAGTCACATTTGAAAAAGAAGTTGTACTTCGAAACATATGTCATGTTAGTGTTTGTTTAAAAATTTTTATTTTTAAAATAAAAGTGTGAAAATCTACCAAATTTGGTTTTACTCTTTCAATATTAATTTTTATTATCAACAAAACTAAGAGTAGGTCAGTAGTTATTGTACAAAAAACGCATATAAAAATCAGTGGTGTGTCTAGGGCTGTACTTGAGCCGCCCCTCCAAAAACTAAAAACTACCTCTTTTATTTATATTTTTGTAAAAAAGGTATTTATAATATTGGATTGGCGCCATAAAAATGGTGTTCCACCCGTCCTCATGGGTTCACCATGCCACTGATAAAAATACACGTTAGTTTGGAAATGTATTTATTAAATTTAATAGTTATTAAAAAAAATTATTTTTTTAATTAAACAATTAACAAAAAATTAACAATTAAATTAAATTTAAATTAAATTAAATTTATTTGATACAAATACATTTCATACAATTAAAAATTAACATAATAATCTAATTATAATTAAAGTTAAAGCACCTAGGTGCAAGCACCTGTATGTGCTAAAGTAAAGTAATAACATAGTAATATACAAATTTATACTTATAGTATACAAACTTACCTTTTAATATGTTTTTCAACAGTACTCTTTCTGTTTATATTTTTTACATGTGTTAAGAAATATTGCTAAGATTAAAATATAAAAATTATTTTAATGAACTGCTATACCGTAGACAGGCCTGATGGGCCTAAATGGATTACCTTGTTTATTACTTGAGTTCATATATTTAATATATTTTCTCTCTTTGTAATTTTGTAACTTTATTTTGTAATAAACAATTTATTATTATATTATTATTTATTATTATACATATATACATAGTTTTAAAATATCAGTAATAAGAATACAAAATTATCTGGAGTACATCTCTATGTGATATACTGTTTTGATTTCTTCTGAAATAATTTTAAATTTTTTATGTTCCTCATATTGACAGGTAAGGTGTTAATTATTTTGGAAGCAACATAAGTTACAAATCTTTGACTTGCATCTCGCTGAACTGCTGGAGTTCTCAGATTCTCATTTAATCTGGATCTTGTGGTGTGCAAGTGCTTTGCAGTATGTCTCAGTTCATGCTTTCTATAAGTACAACAACACTGATAATATAATGTGCTTATATTAAGCACTTGTTTGTTATACAGGGTGAGTCGGGAGGAGCGCACTAAACTCTAGTAGTATATTATACACGTGAAAATAATGTAAAAAAACTCATGTTCTTATCCGATTTTCATTTGTTTTCAAGTTATGGCGTAATTAAAAATGTTCATCTAGCTTTCCACTTCTAAATTTTAACATTATCAAAGTATGCCATATGTTCAAGGCTCAAAGGCATTTGATAATTCTGACGTTTTGATGAACTGTCAGTGTACACTGAACAGTAACTGAACGTTTAATTTCGAATTTATGTGATTGTTAGTGTTGCAAAATGCCAGATACTTATTTAAATTTAGAATATGCAAATATGGTATTTGTTTATGGTTTCCGTAATGGAAATACTACAGCTGCTGCTGAAGAATATCGTCAACGTTTTCCAAACCGAAGACATCCTGACAAAAACGTATTTATTAGAGTTTTCAACAAATTGTGCGAGACTGGTAAGCTTCCCAGTGCTTTCATAACATCTGAACGCGCTACTCGACAAGGTTTTGTAGAAGTAGAAAATATTCTGCATCTAGTAGAAGAAGATGCAACTACTAGCTCACGGAAAATTGCCACTCAATTGGGAATTCCACAAAAAAGAGTGATAAACACACTCCACGAGCAAGGCTTATATCCTTATCACGTACAGAGAGTACAGCACCTACAACCACAGGATTACGCTAACCGTATGGAGTTTTGTCGGTGGATAAATAGATTTGTTCGTAGAGCGATCCACAACCGTTTCCAACTAAACAGCGCATGTGCATTGAATATTTTGCGTTCGTAGAAGAATCACTGATAGATTCCAATTATTAGTTTGGCGTTCGTAGAAACAAATGAAGTGATTTCTATCTGATTGGAAACGGTTGGAAAAATCCCTAACTATTCTCCGGATTTTAAATCCGGTAAATGCGCACATGAAATACGTTCAATAACCTACAATTTGACATTTGGCGTGAAATTTATGTGTTTATCATTCGTCCGTGCTTTTGTTGATTTGATTAGTTGTTTTTTATAAGTGTAATTAATATACATATCCTGATAAAATATCAGCCTTTAACTTCAAAACATGAAGGAAGGATTCAAAACAGGTAATAAAAGTAAAATATATTGATATAATGGGGTGCAACTCATAACCAAAATACATACGTGGTTATTCTGTGACTCATACAACGTCAAAATTCAAATAGTTTTTTCTTTATTTTTGTCCGTTTACTAAATCTGTATCTAACATACGAGAAAAGATAGAGACGAATCCACAACTCTACAAAATGCGTTCGCAGAGCATAAAAATGACAATAAATCCAAACTGTTGGAAATCACGCATGCGCATAATAAAAGAATCACCAACTGTTTGAAACTGTATCTACGAACAAACCTAATAATAATCATCGTGTTGTATCGAGTATACTCTTTACGGATGAAGCTACATTTACCCGTGATGGCATTAATAATGCTCGTAACTATCATGTATGGTCAGACGAAAATCCCCACGCAACAGTCGAAAGCAATTTTCAACATCGGTTTTCTGTAAACGTGTGGTGTGTTATGGTTGACAGTTATTTAATTGGCCCTTTCATTTTGGAGAATCGTCTCACAGGAGACAACTACCTCAATTTTTTACAAAATGAATTACAAGGCCGGCTAGAGGATGTTCCTGTAAATATTAGAATGCAGATGTACTATCAGCACGATGGAGCTCCTGCACATGTCGCTCGTCAGGTCAAGCAACATTTGGACGAACGTTTTTCAGGGCGTTGGATTGGTCGTGGAGGTCCTATTAATTAGCCTGCAAGATCTCCAGACCTCACTCCATTAGATTTTTGTTTATGGGGCTGGATGAAAAATTAAGTCTACAAAAAAAAGTGGACACACGGGATACACTAATTAGACGAATTGAGAATACTGCAGCCCATATTAAAGAAGAAAGAAATGAATCAATTAGGAGAGCAACAAACGCTCTTCGTAGACGAAGCAGAAAATGTTTAGAAGTCAATGGCGGTATTTTTAAACATTTATTGAAAGAACGTTAAGATAATTTTTATGTGTAAATTTATTTGTTAATATGCTATAACTTGAAAACAAATGAAAATCGGATAAGAACATATGAGTTTTTTACATTATTTTCACGTGTATAATATACTCCTAGAGTTTGGTGCGCTCCTCCCGACTCACCCTGTATAAGATAGAGGTAGGATATAATGTCGATTTTTTGTAAATAATTTTGACGATACGATTTTAGATTACATTCAGAGGTTGAAGTGCTATATCATATAAACGGATCTATGGTAGATGCGCCCATGTTACTTGCGGCCACTACCTAAAATTGTGGCATACACGCCCTATCCTACTTTTGGAGCTTACCTGCTTTTTAAGAAGGGTCAAGTTAGTGGCAGTTGCGCCCTATTTTTATTTGCAGGTAGTTAGGTATTAGGTAAACTTAAAATACCTGCGATACATTTATTATTTTTACTATGGTGAATTACTGGAAGATGGGCTATAACTTCCCCAAAAAAGTTTCTTATTATATATTTATTTTATTTTCTTGTATCTCTGATTAAGAGTTGTTAGCGGCCGTATCTGCGAATATCTTGAAAAATAATTAAAAAAAAAAAACACAAAAACTGGGCGATTTTTATTGCAAGGGGGACACATTTTCATCATATTCTTAATTTTCTTATGTTATTCTTCTCCCCTCCGTCACTCTAATATAATTTAGATAGGGAAAGTACCAAGTATGCCACATCATCGAAAAGATCATTTAAAGAGGAATTGCGAATTCAGCAATACCTATTACTGTGCATTGGACTACTTTTAAGTTTAGCGCCAGTTACGCTATTTTAAAGTGTGACATTTAATTTAAAAGATTATTTTATTAGTAATTCAATGCACTATATTA